TTAAATAAGGACTAAATTGGTTAAAAAGAGGTCAAGGTTTTGCGGGCACAGATCTGTGTCGAAACGTTGGAAGGGTTAATTCATTAACAGCCAGACATTAGTATTAACATATATAGTAATATAAATATTATTTATATTCAATGGATCTCAGTGGAATCTCTTAAAAATTGGCAATATCTTCCTTAATTCCTCTACCGAAGTCCATGAGCAAACCATATACATGTAACATAACAACCCCTTACCTTTATATATAAACATTTATAGTATGGCAGTGGGGCAAACAGTTCTTACATTATTGAACACTAAATCTACAGCAGGCTCGTTACATAATTACAATTGTCTTATGTTTGTTACATATATCTTCATCATTACATACTATAAAATAACTGTCGCTGTCTGTCCCCTATGTATGCTTATATCTTTAAAAACACGCAATGGATTTTGAACGGTTTTTTAATAGATAGAGTGATTCTAGAGGAAGGTTTATATATATAATAAATGTACACCCGTGCAAAGCCGGGGTGAATAGCTAGTTATATATAAAAAATTACGTGTCACGTTGTTTGTCCGCTATGGACTCCTAAACTACTGAACCGATTGCAAATTTGATTTGCACATTGTGTGCAATTTGATCCAACTTGAAAGATAGGATAGCTTACATCTCAATTTATAGTCGCAATATTATTTTATTCAAGAACCTTATCCGCAGCAACGCGTGACCGGGTCTGCTAGAATATATATATTAAAAATAGGTACATCTATTATGAGTGAGTAGTTTTTTAACAGAAATTTCTCTTAATTTTTAATACTATATGATTTTGTATCAACCATTTGTCAGTACATAATAATAATCATTATTTAATTCAGGAGGATCGTTACAACGTTATTTATACAGTAGGTACACTTTCAAGACAATGTCAATCCTTTCAGTATTTATGTGTAGTCCTCACTCCTGAACTAGCATTAACCGTATGACAGAAGCCAGTTCCTTCGCAATACAAGAACTTTTATTACAGATTGCTGAAAACTACATACTTGCTTGTAATAATTACAACAATTTAATTTTCAACTGTTCAATAAACAATTGTAAATACATAATCGAGCCTTACAACAATTGAGATATTAAAAAACTATTATAAAATGTAAAAAGATCAAAAATCGTTTAATATTACATATAACTCTAAATGTGCTAATACGATACAGGCGTGCTACAAAACACTACACACGATTCTCAATTATATACATCTATATCACACAAAGAAACTTCAATCCAAAGCGGATTTAACTTATATAAAATCCTGACATTGCATGATCAAAAACATTGAAGGCACCGAATAAGCGAATTAATTGGAATCATTAATACATAGTATAAAACAAAGTTGCTTTCTGTCCGTCCCTATGTATGCTTAAATCTTTAAAACTACGCAACGGATTTTAACGCATTTTCAGCAATAAATAGAGTGATTCAAGAGGAAGGTTTATATATATAATACATGTATACCCGTGCGAAGCCGGGGCGAGTAGCTAGTAAATAATATTTAGCACGTAAAATTTACAATTTTGTGAATTAAATTCAGAATACTTTTATTATATTCAATGACAAACAAGTTGATAGTTCATTTAGTGGAAAATGCACATCATGGGGGGCGTCCATAAATTACGTGAGGTGTTTTTTTTAATTTTCTGTCCCTCCCTCCCCCCCCCCTGGTGAGATGTCGTGAGATTTCATTCAACCCCCTCCCCCATTCCTCAATCTCGCGTGAGATTTTTCAAAATGTCGGTTTCTTACGTAAACGCGTTAGATTGTTATTGTAAAATGAAAAACAAATTGCTTCGTGCTTTTAATTACGACTAGTTAATACTAGTTATCAATATTGCTGGGAGTTATAAGTATAATAAACATGTACAATCTGGATTAAATGGACCGAAATAGTTATTTTCTGTTTCAATCAGAAAAAAAATTGCAAAGATTTGACACGACCCCCTCCCCTTAAACATCTCACGTAATTTATAGACCATACGCCCCCATGGGCGTTATAAAATGCATTGACTTCACGCATTTTCGTTCCTTACTACTAAGGTATCATACCTCGACACCCTAAAAATTTACTGCCATATACTCTTCAAAGAAAACTGGTCAACAGCTGATTTTTTTATACTCCGATGGTGGCAATCAAGCATACGGCCCATCTGATGGTGCAAAATACCGTAGTCTATGACGCTTGAAACCCCCTACTATTTCCAGCGATAACGGTATATTTTTACCATGTAAATTGGATTACAGACCATTCTCTAAATATAAATTAATCATACATACAAACATCAATATTAATAAAATAACATACTCGTCTTTAAATTGAAGCATATTCGATTATATCTAGTCATAACGCTATATGTACAGTTTGAACATCTTCACATAATATAAAATGAAGCCGCTTCCACTGTCCTTTTAAAAAAAATTGTAATTTATTGTAAAAAAACTGTATTTGAAGATAATATTCTAAAAAAAATTTTAGAATATTATCTTCAAATACAGGTAGTATAATCTTAATTCTGAAATTAAGGACCATGATAAAAATGTTAAGACAGAAAGGTTGTAGATTGTTTTTGATTGGCATAAAATAAATACACGTGATGTTTTACTAGACCCCCCCTTGTGATTTTTGTCACCCCCCCCCCCTCCCCTTCAAGTCTCACGTGATTAATGGATGGCCCAAAGTCCTTGTCTCATATAGAGAGCAAAAAGAATATCAATAAACACTCATTATGCATAAATAACAATTTGTTATACTCTATAAAACCTCGATAGATACAATAACATTAAAAAATCGCGACGTTTTTGCTCCGCGACCGGTTGTGCCGCTTTCGCGGAGGTGCCAGTGTTAATGTACTGCGGGCCAGCGGTCAAGGCTTTCGTCGAAAGCTTCGTGTAATTGGTTTAAGCTTTTTAGGACACCAATATATTGTATAATTGTTATTAGGAATTCAGGCCATTTGTTTGTATTGGTTTTTTTTTCTGAGAGGAATCAATCAAATCGAATTTTTTTATTCATGTACCTTTATAAGACTCTTATGATATCTCTACTTTCGAGCTGAGAAAAACTGATAAGAATTCCGCTCTTATTCTTTTCAAATTAGCTTACATTATAATTTCATTTCATTCATTTTTAAATTCAATTAGGTAGAACGCAACGACGACCAATATATGCTATTGCATATTTGTCAAAAGAAAACTTAATATGTAGCCGTAATCAGAAGAAAATACTTCGTCACAAGCAGCACGTGTATGACGGATGAGCAATCTACAGATCACCTGATGGTCATCGGTAATCATTGCCTAAACTATTATCAACGAAAACCACAAACATGGCAGTATGTTTGTTTACCACCTTAATAAAATAAAAAGAAACATTATAAGAAATATTTGGACCACGTTTCTGATATTTAATTTACATATAAATTTACAAAATAAATTGTATAATTCAAATGCGGTAACTTAGTAATGACTTCTTTTGTTATTTTATCATACAGCGCCATCTAGTAGAAATATTCGCAACTTTATTCCATCAGCAAGAAGGCTCTAAGCATATTAACTGCATCGACTATAGACTATAAAAATAGAATTAAAAATACATGCAATTTTTAGCCCCCCTCCGATCGATCCCCCGTCCAATTCAAACGGGGATCGATATTACGACGACCTGAGCCGAGGTTCGAACCCCTAGCGGTGCCCTCAGACTAAAGTCGTATCTGTCAGGCGTGAGTTGGCCCTCAGCCGCTCCATAAGTCCTTCCGCGGGTTTGAAGTGCCATCTGCACTCGCCCCCTATCGTCCGTGAAGCTGTAAAGCCCAGCTGCGGCCAACAGCATTAGAGTAGTGTAAACATGCAATTTCAAACACGAGATATTTAAATATTAGGCATAACAAGTATATTACATGTATATATTAAAAGTTGAATATATTCGGCGTGGGCGCCATTCGAAGTGTTTGTGGCAGTTTGCGCGAATTGAACACACGCGGTAAGGCAGTGATGCAGATGGATTGCCACGTCTCCTCCCTCCCCTCGTCTCATTTCACTTTATATACTTCATACACACATAAAAATATATAATAACCCCTCTATAACAGGGCACTCTTACTCATAACACGGGCATTCCCCTATATAACCCCATATACAGAAATATAATGTGGTAAATCCACATTATATTTCTATATTGTGAAATTTATAATTGTACAGTTGAAATCAATTAGTTTTATTAATTTTTATTTAAAATATTCTTAGCTTAGTTTTTAATAGAACCTACATATTTCGTTCATTACATAGTTTTTTTTAATATTTGTTTTAAACCCTCTTCAGCGGGAACTCGTTTTTCTATAACTCGAAACCAATCTGCAGTGTTATAGGGGGGAGTAACACATATGTGTACATTTTATATATATATTAACGACGTACACCGGACACGTTTTACGGCCGGTTCCGATGGATACAGCACTATAAATACTCGCGTACGCAGTCGAGTATTTCAGCAATAATCGTTCATCGATTACAAATCATAAAAATTCAGACGTCATGGCTCCATGGCCGGCTCGAGAGTCATATTCTTTAATACACACGCTAATATATTCAGAACAAGAATAGTCAAGAGGGAACATTAGGTAGAAATGAAGCAGCAATTTAGCGTTCAAAATACAGTCTGCAAAAACAATTGTATGAATTTTGAAAAATATTTGTTGCTGGCAACACCATAATTTTTATAAACTTTGTAGTTTTTTATATATCACTTTTGACTTGATATTCACTTTGACTCTTCGCTGTGAGCCCTTTTGGGATATATACACGTTTATTACTATCATTTGATTTTTAATAAATAGCCGCTGTGTACCAGTCACAAGATTCTTTAACGCAAATGTTTCGTCGTAAACAAAATACAATTATTATATAATTACAAAAAACTGTTATCACCTTGATAACTAGTTAACTAGTTAGTATTAAACGTTGATAACTAATAACAAAACATAATAATTTAATTACGGTTTCTTTGTATCTCGTTGAAATATCTTTACATCACTTAACAAAAAACATTTTTAACTCACTACAAATATAGAGAAGACCTAATATTTCCGGTAATTAACATTCCCTCTACAGTTTCATCTTGCTCTGTGCTACTACACAATGTAATGAACGTCTAAATCCTCACTTTACAAAAGTCGTGTCACTGCATTTGTCCTTGATTTAAGGAAAATATTGCAGCAAAAGAAGTTGGCTCACATATTCGAGTCACGGGCGATGGGCGTGCTGCAGGCGGCGGAGGGCGCGCGCCGCTCGAGCGGAGACCGAGTATCAGCTTCCGCGTCCGCGCTCGCCTCCGCGCCCGCCTCCGCCTGTGACTCGCTGGCAGTCGCGCCACACAGCGACGTGAACACCGTGCTATTAGACACCTCGCGTACGCACCGCCGCTGCTCCGCTGAAAATTAACACCTTTACGTTATACTAGCTGTGTACCTCGACGATGTCCGTATGAAACATACCGATATTACTCGATAATACGCTATCTTTCTGTAACTGAAAGAACTTTAGTAATAGGTCTAATATTTTCGAGTTTACTCATTCCATTAATTTTGATATTAATTATTATAATAATAATAATAATCTCAAGACAATTCACAAAGCGCCATCTAGACCCAAGTTAAGCTAGCTAAAGCTTGTGTTATGGGTACTAGATAACTGATACATATTATATACACAAAGACAACACCCAGACCGATACAAACAACCATACTCATGAATACAAATGTTTGTGCCGTGCGAGGAATCGAACCCGCGACCATCGGACGTAAAGCGGTGTGCTAGACCGCTAGACCACCGAGGTCATCAAATATTAGAAATAGTAATAATCTTTATTCAAATAAACTTAATAGAGTACTTTTGAATAGTCATATTTTTTTATTCTACCCACTCGTTCGGAAAGCAGACTAGTCAAAAGAAAATTCAGCAAAGACGCGTGCGTGTTGCTCTTTTAAATAAATGTTGTTCAGCATTACAATTTAAATAATATTTGGGTACATTCTCTTCAAAACTAAAAAAGACTATGGCAGAGAAGTCACAAGGTTCGGAGGTTTCATCAGTCCTCTGCAGTCCACTGTTGGACATAGGCCTCCCAAGGCAGGCCATGCGCACGATCTTCTATGGAGGTTTAGTCTCCGACAATATATGAGGTCCATCAGGCGTCACGTGATTATGAGATGTCAGTGATACTAATCAGGTATATAAATAAATCATTTATTAATATGTTAATAAATGATTTTAAATAGCACCTTATATCTCTTGTGCATATCATATTTTTTATCCCTTTTTTTTCAAATAATTCAAAATTCAAATTCATGACGACCTCGGTGGTGTAGCGGTCAAGCACACCGCTTTACGACCGATGGTCGCGGGTTCGATTCCTCGCACGGCACAAACATTTGAATTCATGAGTATGATTGTTCGTATCGGTCTGGGTGTTTTCTATGTATAATATGTAAGTATTTACAAAAAAAAATATCTATGTATTTGTATCAGTTATCTAGTACCCATAACACAAGCTCTAGCTAGCTTAACTTGGGTCTAGATGGCTCTGTGTGAATTGTCCTGAGATTATTATTATTATTATAAATCACATATTCATGTAGTATATTTTAGCAGATTATGAACGTCAAATGTTTTATATTATAATGTTTTCCTTACCGTCCAGTTTAGTATATATATCGAACTGAGAAGAACTGGCAAGAAACTGAATTGAATTTTTTTTGCATGCAAGATAATGGAATGGTTCACGCATTTGCGCTAACAGTTTACACTGGCGGGACACTAGTGGAGGATGCTAAGATGAGCATGAGGTCAGGTCAATTAACCAATCATGACAAATTCACCAAGAACGTATCACGATGGTTTCCAGGGGGAACTGCGTCGAGGGCAACCTGACATGGTACATTGCTAGCAATAAGATCATTAATCCACATTACTAACAATCCCCTTGTCCCATTTTTCACCACTAACCCTGTCCAGTACCGACTGGCTACTACAATTGAAAAGTACTCTCAAGAAACTCATCTGGTACACAATCCGGTGTTTACAGCATAATAAGGCAAAATTGCTCAAAAGTGGGTCATTATTCCGAGCGATGTCGGGGCGTTTAACAAATTAAGACGCTCCCATAGCACGCGAGATGTAGTGAGACATAATGAGGTGTTTGAGTAATTGTGCAAGTGAATTGACAATAAACGTAATTGTGACAATTGCGGGAAACTGCAACGACCTCAACTGTGCATCAAATCCCACGACACGGCTGGCGCTTATAACGACTCGACTCTATGCAACATTCAAACGCAATTATTATTACACGACGGCCTCGGTGGTTTAACGGTTTAACACACTTTACTTCCGATGGTCGCGGGTTCGAGTCCTCGCACGGCACAAACATTTGTATTCTTGAGTATGATTGTTTGTATCTGGGTGTTTTCTATGTATAATATGTATGTCCCAAGATTGAATTTAAAAATTAATCTATTATATATTATTGTAAACATGTACAACATTTATTTGAAAAGAATACGAGCTGAGTTTCTTATCAGTTCTTCTCATATCGAAATCATTCCGAACTGACGGTAGACCTATATGAATAAAGATATTTTGAATTACGTATTTACGAAAAAAAATTCTATGTACTTGTATCAGTTATCTAGTACCCATAACACAAGCTTTAGCTGGCTTAACTTGGTTCTAAACACTGAGTAAAATGTCAAAAAAAATTAAGTAACTCATTAGATACTTCAATAGACTATTGCTATTGAGTAAAAATAACGAACTTTGTAAAAGGGCGAGAACAATAGATCCACATAGATCGCAGTGCTACAGGTCTAAAGCACCTGACAATAGCCCAAACTCCACAATAAAAAAGTATTGGATATTTTATATTATAGATCTTTATATCATTATTTTTTTTATTTATTAGGTCTACAAAACTGGATGTCTTACATAGTACATAACTTAATACACATAAAACAAACACACCTTCTAGATGTAGACACAGCATGCATAACTTAATTTTTACACACACAAAATGACACTATACAATAAATTTATATATTTAATACAACCAATCAAACAATAAACCCATTTATCGAGGAAGGCTGTAAGCTATATAACATCACGCTACGACCAATAGGAGTGGAACTGCAATGTAAAATGTTGCTAAAATGTCGGTAATATGACGGAAAAATTATTATATGTATAATGTTCTGATCCAATTCATCGGAAACGGACAAGACGGCGAAGGAGGCGCTTCGCAAGGGCCAGGGGCGGCGGCTTCTCTATCAACATCTCAGTCCAGAGATGGTGGGCCCGTGTACCCGCGCTACTCATGAAGAAGTGTAGTGACCCTTGTGTAGCATTCTTCCAGCTTCGCAGCTCCGACGACGGGGACTTAGAGGTCCCCGCCGTGGCGAAAGAATGCTCGCATAAACCGTGGCTCCGGCAATAAGCCGTAGAGTACACCTTGGGATATAGCTCCGACAACGGGATATACCCATCTCAGCCCCCCCCTCCCCCCTCACCCCCCTGGAAGCTGTGGAAGAATGCTCACACAAACCGTGGTTCCAGCGTGGTTCCAGCAATAAGAGTAGACCTTGCGGTTTAGAAACCCGGCAGTACCTGTTGTTGATAGAATGAGTGAACTGTATGTGTGATGTAAATCAAACAATGGATAGAAAATGGTAAATACTTATAATGAAGATACGTGTACAAACGATTGTAAGACAAAAGGTGACAATAAAAATATATGACAAACCTATAAAGAAAATACATTCAAAATTGGTAGAAAAATAAACATATAAAAATGTGCAAAGAGATTGCAACAGTACCCATTCGGTACCCCTGGAGCGGTCAACCTTAATGATGGATATCCAAAGTAAAAAAAAGTATAGAGTAATATTAAATATGTCAGAAACAAAGCAATGCATGGGTTTACAGACATAAGATACACTAGAGTCGGTGCGGTGTGTATTACGAGTGAAACAGCGCGTGAAATGTCTACCGAGATACGACGAGGTATCTGACACCGCGCCGGTATGTTCCTGGTAAATGCATTTACTTATAATTAATCACTCTATCTGTCTGTACCAGGGTTGTCTCTTCATTAGTTTACGTTTTATTATTGTTGTGTTCATTAACCTCACAGTAGCATAGGTATGAAAAATTGTTTATCTTGACATGCTTCCGTATTTATTTTCATTTATTTTTCTTCTATAAAGATGGGATGATGTTTTCCTAGGGTTGCACATCTTATACATGAGAAAGATGAGATATTCCTCACAGCTGCTCAAAAGTTGACTGAAAGAGATCCTAGAGATCCATGAAAAGGATGAGAAAAAATAAGAAACTGATAAATATGATTTCCAGAAGTAACGGAGGCTTATGGCTCACCCGATGGTACGTGATTATCGCCGCCCATAAGCACCCGCAACATCATGGGAATTGCAAATGCCTTGCCGTCCTTTTAAGGAATAAACTTTTTCTTGGAGGTTTCTATATTGTATCGGTTCGGATTACCATTGCTGGAAGGTGATTCTACAATGTAATTGGTGCATGCCAAAAAGTTTATTGAAGAACGCTTGGTGGGGACTGCCATTCATCCAGTTGATCAGAATGGTATTTTAATTTCTGGCGGGTAGTGCGATGGTGAAATTCACCAGTTGGTATTATTAATCCAATAATTATTCATTCAGAATAGTCTCCGTGAGATATGCGATTGGAAATGCACAGAGATGCAATGTCTCACCGCAAGCTCGTCTTAAATTAGTCATATTATAGTAGTTAGTCGTATTATAGTTAGGCGGGGCAGAGCCCCGGAGCCCTCAAGCTCACGAGGCCCTCGAACCCTTGACAGAAAATCTCGATCAACTGAACTTTGAAAATTTCTCCCATTTTCAAAATAAATATGACAGGTTGCAACCTGACTTTAATCATGGCAACTCAGTTGAGAGAAATTCGAAAGTTATACCTTCGGATGTCCCCTAAATTCTTTCTATGGGTTGGCAGTGCTGTTGGCAATTTGACGGATAGCGATATGTGCGTTTTAATAAAACTGTAATGTAGGGCCACGGCTGGGCAGTGGGGCCACATTTTTTGATTTGCCCCAGGGCCCTTGGTTACCTAAATACGCCACTGCAGTCCACTAGTCCCCATTAGTAATACCGCCCGTTCCTGTTGTCTATGGTCTCAACTCACCGATCATGTTGTGCAGATTGTCTATGACCACCTCCGTGTTGTAGGTGGCGTCCACGGCGCGCTGCAGGAACGACGTCCACGTGCTCAGCTCTGCTTCCTGCGCAAGTAAACATAACCAACGATAAAAGAGTTTATTCATACAAGTATAAAATTTTCTTATGGACTTCAAATTTATATTACATTAAACCTTTTTATTTTTAAAAATCTTCAAAAGACAGTCCATCCGTGAAAGTAACGAGGGGTGTGTGTAATTTTTATCCACTAAAAAACCAAACTACGATCGCATTTGCTGCTTTAGCTGAGAAAAACTAGCAGTAAATCAATCTGTTAATCTACTAATCACTCTAAAACGTATCAATCAACATATATTCACATAGGTCTATTACGGACTCTTATGATATGTCTAATGTGCCGTCAGTTCGGAATGATTTCGAGATGAGAAGAACTGACAAGAAAATCATATTATTTTCAAATGAGTATGTACCTACTTTGAAAATTAATTTATATTTTCATCAGTGTACACGAATGAAACTACAGCAATCATACCTTGTAAATTATGAAATCGGACAAGTTTGTAGAATTTAAATGAAATTTGATACACCTAATCATTATTCAATAATAATATATAAATAAATAATCCTGGACAATTAACATAGCGCCATCTAGTCCCACGGTAAGCCGAGCTTGTGTTATGGGCACTAGACAACTGATAATATATAATTAGATACTTTTTTTTTTAATACATACATAATATACATAGACAACACCCAGACCGATACAAGCAATCATACTCATGAATACAAATATTTGTACCATGCGATGAATCGAATCCGCGACCATCGGAGTAAAGTGGTGTGCTAAACCGCTAGATCACCGAGACTGTCAAGTCAATACATAAACACAGAATAGTTTTTGAGAATAGAATAGAATAGAATAGAAAATCATTTATTCAAATAAACTTAATTTAAGCACTTTTGAATAATCAACATTTTTTTAATCTACCGCTTGATGAATCTGTCTCATCACAAGAAGAATAAGCAAGAAACTTGTGTGTAGCTCTTTTAAACAATCCTTGTAAGTTTACATTTTACAAGTCGAAACGTGTGAATACAAAATACCAACCAGCACTAATTTATTTAGGCTCAAATATAAAAACACAATAAGATTAAATCAGTCGTAGTGATAAGAGCAGACCAGTCCCTACAAGCAGCACTCGAGAACACAGAAGTGCAACGAAAAATATAGAAATAGTTCTTGTATTTAAACCCATTTGTATATCTGTATTTATCACCCGTTGCTGCTTTATTTGTAAAATTACAAAACTATCACACAACTGCCCATACACATTTCTAAACATGCATTACGAGCACACGATGTATGAAATAAGATCCATTCGCCGTGAAACGTCGGTTGGAAGTTTCCGACGACTGCGTTAGGCTGTCGTGTAATGTTCTTTGATTTACGGCCGTCGAACTCGGAGCCTATAAAATTGGAAGCCGGTCGACCTTCGACGGAGCCAGCCACCCCTACGCCGACACCCCGCGCTGTCGCCGAACATCCAATAAGCGGGTGGATGCGTGAAGCCGTATAAATAGAGCCGCAGATTGCCGACGGGTTGAAGCGAGTGGGGCGCGGTGAGGACATGTTCCGTTGCCCTTATTTTCATTACAGGATGTGTAAACAATAATCTAGACCACAGAATACATAATACTTTACTAACTGTACAAATATATACATATACTAGCTGTCCCGGCAAACGTTTTGCCTTAAAATAAAAATAAAAATTTAGGGGTGGACTACCCCTAACATTTAGGGGGATGATAAATAGATGTTGGCCGATTCTCAGACCTACTCAATACGCTCACAAATTTCATGAGAATCGGTCAAGGCGTTTCGGAGGAGTATGGGAACAAAAACTGTGACACGAGAATTTTATGTATAAGATATATTTTCGAGTCTACACCTGTTGACCGCAACTAGCGTTTACAGCTTCACCGGACGATAGCAGGCGAGTGCAGATGGCACAATGATGACTCCAAACCCGCGGAAGAACTTATGGCGCGGCAGAAGGCCAACTCCCGCCTGACGATTCTAGTCTGAGGGCTCCGCTAGGGGTTCGAACCTCGGCTCAGGCCGTCGTAATTTCAATCCCCGTTTGAATTGGACGGGGGATCGATCGGAGTGGTCTGTACGAATAAGTGACGTAACTCTATTTAGTCCTACGTTTAAACAAGAGTTACGTTAGGAAAGCTTGTATTATTGGTACTGAATGTCGGATAGACATACTAAAACCGTTTTTTTGTAATATATATATGGAACACAAAAGTTTTTATTGATACGGTTTTGAACCCGTAGATATGAAGATGTGTATGTAAGTAAATACAGAAGTCCTTTTTGATAAAAAAAATGTTACATTTGAAGTTTGTATTCAGGATTATAATGTGTAATTTTTATCTGCTTCTGAATTAGTGTTAGCAAACAAGCATACGGCCCATCTGATGGTAAATGGTTACCGTAGCCTACCTAGCCGTAACTATAATATCCTTAATACTAAATTCTTAGTAATATTATAAATGCGAAAGTAACTCAGTCTGTCTCGCTTTCAAGCCAAAACTACTCAACCGATATAAATGAAATTTGGTATACAGAGAGTTCTAGACCCTGAGAAAGGACATAGGCTACTTTTTAATGCAAAAAATGAGTTTTAAGGGGATGAAAAGGGAGATAAAAAGTTGTATGGAAACAGCTTTTTTCTCCCTTTTCAACCCCTTAATATTTGAAGCTAGAACGATGAGACAGACAGAGAAATTTTGCTTTGAATTTTCTGGCTTAAAGTATTGAATATTTTTTCTTTACTTGGTCAAGGTCACTACAACACGCGGACGAATTCGCGGGCACAGCTAGTTATTTATAAACCAGACACTCTCTCTACAAATTCGATCAATCAACTCTCCACTCGTATGCTACAGCGCTGAAAAAGCACTCGGCGCCTTACATAACAATACATAACGTGACGTGCGTCCGTATGTGTATGTAGACGGTAGCAACTGTTATATTTATAGAGATGACGGTCAGGGCCGTCGGGCGGCCGCGGTCGCTGCTCTGCGCCGCCCACGCTCCGCAACCGGGGCCTGACCCGCCGCGGGTCACGGGTCACAACCAGGGCCGTCTTTCACTTATTAGAGACACTGGGTACATTAAGATAACCCCTATGACAATACTAATAAAGTACTATTTTGTTAGAATAAAGAAAGTCATTTTTTAACATGACTCTTTAGAGATGTAGGTATATGGGACGCCCTACCTTCGCCCTACCTAGTCGTTACGTGATGAGAGGTCTTAGCTTAAGGTCTTGCTTAACATTTATAAAAAAATAATAAAAACGAGCAAATTCACCAAAGTAAGTAAGCATTAGTTAAGACTGATTTTCCGGCGAGAGTAGAGCAGCTATCGGTTATCCTTTGACAATGGAGTAGGGACTAGACTAGACTAGGGGGCCCTGGGCACGTGCCCAGTGTGGCCAGTGGGGAAGAGAGGCCTGGTGACAACTGACCCCACGGAAAATATATGACTGCCTTATATTTGTATGACAATAGGTTTTACCTATAGCAGATTTACACTACCACACTGTGCTTTCCATTATCATCGATAAAAAAATTCTGCGTGTGTGCATGTGGATAGTTATCTTCAAAACCGATGGGTTATGTTCAAAGTGTAGAAAGGGCTCGCTCTTCTACAACGGCGGACCCGAGGGGGGGGGTAATGGGGGTCATGACCTCCCCCTGAGCCCAAGACTTAGGTGGACCACTAATTGAACTTAATGATTTTATGTATATATTTCGTCACCACACAGATTTTATTAATAAGTACAATACTTACGTACTTGTATCTATTGTTATAAAAATTAAATTATAAATTCTTGACTTGACCACGACTATATGGCCGCCTCCTGTCGCCAAAGCTGGATCCTCCCTTGATCTTCTATGATGATAATGATAACATTAAGATATTACTACGAGAAGCAAAAACTATGTGCCATTTTTTACGAAAATTGCGCAGAAGGAAGATTGTGAAATGTTATACAAGTTATAAAGTTTATATAGAGAAGGAGCGCAGTATTTTTTTATTTAAAATAATAATAATAATCTCAGGACAATTCACACAGCGCCATCTAGACCCAAGTTAAGCTAGCTAAAGCTTGTGTTAGTGGTACTAGACAACTGATACAAATACATAGATTTTTTTTTTCGTAAATACATACATATTAGGTTTTTTTAAGGTTATAGATATTTATTCTCATTAAGAATTACAAATAATTCACTTAACATGAGAACTAAAAGATTATTATACATAGAAAACACCCAGTCCGATACAAACAATCATACTCATGAATTCAATTGTTTGTGCCGTGCGAGTAATCGAACCCGCGACCAGCATCGAAAGCAGTGTGCTGGACCGCTAGACCACCGAGGTCGTCTTAATCACGTAAGGTAAGGATATTTAAGATAAGGGTAAGGATATTTGATTCCTTAAAGAACTCTCGTAAAGACTCCCTGGAACCCATACTATAAATGGAGGAGTTTAGCTTAACGAGCTTAGCGTAAGAGTCAGATATAAAAAGCCATCCTAATATATTATTATTTTTACATATTATTATACGTGATTAAATCATTAGTCCATACAAATATTTTTAGACCGATATTTGCTCAAAAAATATATGTAATAACTTTTATTTTCTAAAATAAAAGTAGCCTAAGTTACTCCTTATTACATCAGCTACATGCCAAAAAAATTCCCGTCAAAATCGGTTCAGCCATTTCAGAGATTAGCCGGAACAAACAGACCAACAGACAGACAAAAATTGTAAAAAATGATATTTTGGTGTATGTACCGTATTTGTATTCATATGCAAGTAGTAAACAACGGTTATTTCAATATTACAAACAGACACTCCAATTTTATTTATATGTATAGATGTAATATATACCCTTGCTGATGAATTTCTTCCTTAGCACGAAATATCAATTAAACCCAGTAATGTGATTGGCAAAAATCCAAGACATTTAATATCAAAACACCTTCCACCCTAAGGCCCGA